AAGCCTCACTTCAACTCCCGCTTCTGTCGGCTCAACCCCAAATTTGCACTCGAGGTATTCCGTATTCGTCCTGCTCAACTTGAAACCTTTAAACTCAAGAGCATGTCTCCAAACCTCTAGCCTCTCGTTGACGCCGCCTCGTGTCTCATCAATTAGAATAATGTCATCAGCAAATAGCATGCACCATGGCACCTCCCTTTGAATATGATGAGTCAGTGCATCCATCACCAGGGCAAATAGGAATGGCCTGAGCGCAGACCCTTGGTGCAACCCCATAATAACTGGAAAATGTTTAGAGTCGCCTCCTACTGTCCTAACCCGAGTCTTAGCTCTAGCATACATGTCTTTAATCACCCTAATATAGTCAACCANAAGGCGCGTAGCTAGAGCCGACAAAGTCTGTTAAGCTAGTCTAAGCCCGCATCATGGCATTAATTGGCTGTACCAACTACATATCTTTGTAGTAAATGTATTTGTACTATGTTGGGATTCAACCTCATATATAAAGGAGATCCTTGTCATTTTGTAGTCATCTGATGCTCAATACTAAATACATAAGAACATATTCTTTTGCTCTCATTACTCCCATTTATTGGTTATGTTTATTGTGTTCTATTTATTGTTCTTCATTTATTGTTTATCATTGATCATAAAGAGACATCATTTTAGCTCTCATAACTGTTCTTACTCCCTCGACTGTTCTAAGCCGGTCATCTGACTTGACCTCGAGACCTTATACACACCAGCTAGAGGCCCAAATCTCCAGCCGTTTGGTCTGACTATTATATCGTTTTCTAAGCTATAATGTTGCTTTCTAATCTTTTACTTTTTCATTCATTGCCTAACAACTAGCATAAAAATAGATCATGCATCTTTAGAACCACAAAATCAAATTTAATTGTTATTACTATTTTCGTGGTAAACAGAGGGTTTTGTCGCAATTGCGACCTTCGCATTTGCGAACCTGATGTCACAAATGCGACATCAGAGGCCTGGGCACAACATTTAAAAATGGGACTTAGGCCATTTATTTCATTTTACTTCTATACTTGGGCGATTTAGGAGTTTCCAAAGAGGGGATTTCTTCCTAGCACTTCGAGGTAAGTTATTCCTTCCTAATGTGAGTTTAATACTTGGTTTTTGGGTAGATTAACACACAAATATTTGTGAAAATAATGGGATTAGAGTAAAAAACCTAGGGTCTTAATAAAAACTAGATTTAACCACGAAATTTGTTATGGAATAGAGTAAAAATCTTATATTCTTAATACTTAGGTTATGGGTAACAACTTTCTTCAAAGATTTTTGGAATCCGGGCACGTCGGCCTGAGGGTGAATTTTAGGAACTTTGCATTGATGGTTGGAAAATTACTCTAATAGTTAGAATATGAATTCTTGAGCTTGTATTGATTAGTTCTTACCCCGTTTGATTAGTTTTGGATTGTTCGGCTCCGAATTGAGGGTTTTGAGCACATTCTTGAATTTGGAAGTGAGCTTTAGGATGAGGTAAGTCTCTTTTCTAACCTTGTAAGAGAAAATTGTCCCCATAGGAGAAATAATTGAATGTTTGCCACTAAATGCGGGGGCTATGTACGCACGAGGTGGCGAGAGTCCATGTGTAGCTACTATTATGCTTAAGACCGGGTAGCTTAGGACCCAAGAGCATGCCTTACTTGTTGTATTTGTAACCTTATTGTTAATTTAAATTTGCGTAAAACATATAAAACTTGGCGAATAAATTTCTAAAAGGTAAACACCATTTTCTTGACAGTTAAAGAGCAGTTTGACATTATCTTGGATAATTTTTTCCCGATAAATTATTAATTGACTGCTTGATATGTTTATCTGTGTATGACTGCGTCATATGTATGATTCACGAGTGGGGTAATAGATGCATCTATGGTTCGTGCCAGTCGACCCTCTGGCGGTGCACATTTTATTTTATGTTGGATCGGGCCGTACGACCTCAGTATTATTTGCGCATGCTACTTGCTTGGTACTTTCTGTGATTTGAACTGTTTAAAATGACTTGAAATATAGATTGTTAACTGAAATGTTATGTATAAAAGTGCTTGTCACTCATGTTATCAATTGTTATTTATCCATGACATCCGTGCTTAGGGTAACACTTAAATTTTATCATTATCACAACTTATACTCATCCACGTTTTTCGCCCTCGATCCGACCCACCTAGTCTCCTGGACACACGCTATATTAATCTTCCTCTTCTGAAGGATTTTCGCCAACTCTATGAATTTACTCGTTAGTGAACCGNTGCTGTACTCGATGTAGTTGTACGCTCACGCACCACTTCCTACCGCCCTTTGCTAACACTCGCCTAGGTTGCTCTCCTTTGCCAATGCTCGTGCGCCCAACTTGTCTCCAATACTTCGAGAATTCCTGAAAATACAGAAAATACCACGACCCAAAAACCAGAAGGAGCTATCACCTCACCGCTATCACTGGTATAGCCCCAATAATATAAAATGTACAAAGAAAGGAGAAAAAAAAATGAGAATATAAGGGGGTGGGGGCAGATTTGGGACGCAAAAGGGGTGGGGCAAGAAGACCCGAAAATCAAATAAGGGCCAGAAACTTCTGAGATAAAGCTCAACCTCTGAGATAAAAGCTCAGCCGTGACAGACCCGAATTCAGCAATAGCTATAAAATCCCTAAAAGATGTATGCGCTGGTTTGGTCTTTTGGAAGGGATATCTCAAAGAATTTCTACTGCTAGAAATAAAAGATGCAGAAAACCTATCCAATTTTGTGAAAAGCTCATAATCTTGAGTAGCAAATAGTCAAACTAAGGACTCAAATAGAAAACAGTAGCTGAGGCAGTTTATACTCTATAGCAAATCGGAAAGAGAGATAAACAACGACAGAAGAAAGAGAAAAGTTTTCTACTTACTGACCGGAAAACGGAAGAGACGACGATCGCCGGAGAACTCCACCGGAGATGGCGAGTTCATAATTTATTACTAACCCGGAAAGTAGCAGTAGTCTCAACGTCTATATGTTAGAAGCTATTATGCCAAATATAAGGGGTTGATTTCACACTTAGTTGAAACTTGGAGACCCAAAGGAGAAAAATTTGAGAGAAAATTCGAAACGTCGTCGTTTGAAGCTGCCTGCAGCGGCATCAGGGATTCCCAATTTTTGTATCGGCGAAGACCCATTAACGCGAGTTGGAGCGAAATGGGTAAAATTGCGGTTGTGGCGATGGTAAGTTCATGGGTAGTAGCTATATCAATCCTCGTCAATTGCATTGTGCCTGATCCTTACATGGTATTCCTTCTGTTTTTTTTTTCTATTTAAACAACTTTTCTTCTTTATGAATGTATATTGATTGATTTTGATAAATTTATAGTTGTGTAAAGTGGATAATGGGTGCTTTTTCTAGGATGAGATATTTCATATACCTCAAGTGCAACAGTACTGCAAAGGCAATTTCAGAAGCTGGGATCCCATGATCACTACCCCTCCTGGCCTGTGAGTATTACCTCGTTTTTTCTCATTACTTGCAACCTACAATATATGTGCCTAGTGATATGTGGCAACTGAAATGTGACAGCATTAGCGGTTAGCCTCTTGTAGTCAATTTTGCCTTCTGCAGGAAGAATAAATTTATGAAGAGTTAGGAATATGTTTAAATGACTATTAGCAGCGAGTTTCTCCTCATTTAGTTTCTTGATTCATTTGGGTGTTAAATTATGCCAGAGACGGATTCAGGATTTAAAGTTTATGGGTTTCTATAACGACCTCAAATTAATACTATATTTGTAACTAGGTTCAACATTAATTATTTATAGATATTTAATGGATTTCTTTATATATATATATAGGGTCTAGACAAGCTACTGGGTTCACATGAACTAGTAACCAACACTGTAGATCCGCCCCTGGAAATAGCAATATATGTGTTCTTCTTAGGGAGAAAACCAAGCATGTCTTCTTGGAAATAGGAATTGTACATACTATGCTCTCCTACAGATTACGAGTCTTGGAAATAGGAAATAGGAATTGTCATGCTTTGTGTGTCTGCAGATATGAGTCTTTTCCCTTTATTTGATTGCAAAATGTACATTGTTTTTCTTCCTAAGTATAGCTTCACCTTGTTGATGATCTTAATTTAGCAAGTGGTTTCTTCATATAGGAGTTGTTGGTACCAGTCTTACATTCTTACTCCACCAATTATCTAGAAAATTTGGCTTAAAGGAAGAGTCTATGAAAGAGTTAATATGGAGGCAACATATTGCACTAATTCGGTGATAACTGAAACGTCAAGCATTTTTTGTTACAATCTTTTGATATTGCAAAACCAATTTATGCGCATACTAGTATACTACTATTGTCTTCTGTTTTTAGCATGCAGACTTTAGCATAAAACATCACAATGGAATTAAAGGACACATATTGGCAATACTAGTTAGTTGAGATTTGAAACATATAGTGGCTTTGAAACTTGTGGTTTTAGACCTGCCATGACATTTTTGTGGCTAATTATAAAATCGCGTCATTAAGGGTAAAATGGGGATTCTAAGATTAAATTGTTCCCAAAAAGAGAAAGGTGTGATTTTTGGGGACAGATTAAAAAGGAAAGAGTGTCACCTAAGTTAGGCCGGAGGGAGTGACATACGATCGAACAAGATAACTGAAAAAGCAATTACTAAAGTTTATGGAACTTAGTTCTCTTTGTACTATGTACTATCTTTCTCTCAGGCTCTCAATTTTATGTTAATGGCCATGTAAAATAGGTTTATTTTGGCGGATTGAGGTCATGAAGTTGGGGTTGGGATGAGAAGTTTGAGGCTGATTCCATGGCTCGAGCTGTGACCTATAGATTTTTGGTGCAGTGAGGTTCGTTGAAGACAGTGACTAGATTTCAGCTAAATGCTATAGAGACATCATCAAATGATACAAAGAATTCTCTCAGATTTGTCTCTGTTGTTTGTCAAAGAGAAAAAAGGAATACAGATAACCGAAAAAGGATGTAAACAACAGAACAGGAAATAAAAGGACGGAGCTAGTATCACATAACATGTGCCATGACCTTGATCCGTAGATATTGAAAGAAGTGTTCTTTAAGATGCTTCAGTTGAAAAAAACAGTTTAGATCTAACTGATAAGGGAATTTGACGCAGATAATTTAAAATTTTTGCAGGTATATTGTTTCACTTGCCCATGTTGCTTCTTTGTTTCCAGGGCTGTTCTCAATGAAAGTAGGTGCCTCATTTTCAGATGCTTGTTCCTCTTCCATCCTACGCTCCAGCAATGGTGTATTGGCTGTATTCTGCAGCTTTCTGGTTTACAACATACTTAACCACCTCAGGCCTTCCCTTAGTGACAGAAAAGTAACTCTTCGGACAGTTGTCCTAGCGTTGTATCCCCTTCACTGGTTCTTCAGTTTTCTTTATTATACAGATGTAGCATCACTAACTGCTGTACTGGCATCATACCTTATGAGTCTCAAGAAGAATTATTTCTTGAGTTCCGTGGTAAGTGGATCAACTCAATCCCATTTAATTCTCTCTAGTCGATAATAAAAGGGAGCAAAGTTATAAATCGACTTTTGTTCAAACTCTTTATAGCTTACTCCTCTTATGGAATTGTATTCTTCTGTATGGCCTTTGTGATTAATAAAGAATTTTTCTCCAATAATATTTATGCACTGTAGTTATTCATGCACCAAAAACATGTTCCAAGAATATATATGATTTTAACATCTGACAAGTTACTGATTACTGGAAACTGCACGTTATACTACAGTGTGCTTTGGCGTTATATAATGTTTTCGCCCTCCACTTGAGCTGTATCAAA